GCTCCAATATCTTCTGATCACGGCATTACACTATGAAAAAAAATAAAACTTAAGTTGTCATTAAAAGAAATTCTTTTTCTTATTTCATCAATTAAGTAGTTGTGACAATAGTGACAACTAGCATACCGATTGCTATAGCATATTTAATCATGACTGATCTGATAATTGCAACATTAATGGAAAATAAAATCTTTCTAAAATTAATTTTTTCATTTCTTCAAACTACTAAGACTTAAAATTGATATTAATTGAGCAAGCCGACCTTGAGAAAGTTTTCATGTTTTACGAACAGTTCCATTAGCAAAATAAACTGATGTTGATTTATGTGGATTCATATGATCTGGAAGTATAATAGGAAAATTAGCATCTATTATAACATACGCATGAAAATAACTATCAACTAAATTATCATTTCACTAATACTTTCATGACCGAAAAACGTAATAAATCTAGTTTAACATTTCAATCTTTGAAAATAAAATCATTATTATGAGACAGGATGAGGAAGATTTTTAAATGTAAAACTGCGTTATAAGCCATATATGTCTTATAATTACGATATGAGAACATGATAGATGATTGTAAGTACTAATATTATTGAAACTTAATTTTTTTTCGCTAAATAATGTAATGTATGATGTAGCTATGCTAATTATTTACTATGGAAAAAATATACTGTGTTGGAAAACAAAACGAGAAAAGAAGATTTTATTAAAACATCGATTGTACATTGACCTTGAAGGAAAAGAACAAGCAAAAAAACACACCTGTGTTTCATTATGAATAATCGATAAAAAAATCTATTTTTATTCTCTCTAGTATTCAATGAATAAGTCGGACTTTGACAGTAAGGCAAGTGTCTTTCTTTTTGTTAGTAATCAGTCATTTATCATGTTTAGAAATAAAACACGATTATTCACATTAAAATGACAGTAAAATTACAAATATGAATGAGCAAAAGAAAAAGTAAGGTAATACAAAATAAATGTGTTCACTGTGTATTTTAAGGTGTCAATATCGTAAACACTGCGATATCAGATGAGAAAATAGGAAAGAAAAAAGAAGCATAAACTAAACACGATAATAGGGGGAAAAGAAGAACAGTAGAATTTTTTATAAGAGAAAAAAATATTATTTTTACTATTTAGACGTCCGTCCTAATATATTATATGTAGTGTTTATTGTTAAACAGCATTATCAATAATAGTAAATATAACAATAACAAAAGACATGTGAAATATATAAAATAAAATAAAAATATCTGTTAATCATATAGGTCATATCAACGTTTTGCATGAGAAATTTTGGTTTGACGCAGTTACTTTTCTGTTTTCAAAAACGACGATACAATAATTAATAGTATTATTCACATCAGTATAATATTTTTCCTATATATCAATTCGTTATTTTAATGATCTAGAGAGTTGAAGTTTAGTTAATACGCTTATGTATAGTTACAAGAGATAATTGTGTACATTTAGAACAATAAACATGTTATAATGTTAACATTGATTTCAACAATTTCATCATGAAATCTATCTTGGTTTTATCAAACTGATGCAATATTTTCTTTTATGTTTTGCTTTTGCGAATATTATATTTAAAAAAACGATATTCTTAACAAAAAAAGTTTACAAAAAAATAGTATCACAAATCATATCAGATTTTCTGGGAATCTAAATGTTCATCAGTCACAGCAGCCTGCTCAACTGTTGTTGCACTATTTTTATATTCTTCTATTGCATGTTTTAATTCTGTCACACTTTCTTTCAATCTTGAATCTTTATAATCATGTGTAACAATATTTAATCCAGGAAAATTGAATAATAATAATTCTTTTAAATTAATTAATAGATCAAGATTAGGAGCATAAGTACCCGATCCATTATCGAATACTAATTCCCATTCATCATCACATCTATCCCATCCATATTTTGGACGTGTATGAAATTCTCCAGCATAACGAACATATTCTGATCCATTAGCTAATAACGCATGTTTACTTGCTAAATCAGCAAAAAGTTGAACATCTGTTTCACTAAAACGCCATGTATTATCATCAATAATATATGTATAAATACATGGTTTAATACGTTGTGTTGTTCGATTTGAAAAAACAAATTTCCAAAGATCATCAGCATTCGTTAATTGTCCCTTTTCATGATGTTTTAATGTTTGACCATAAAGTGCTTTATGTGCTAATTTAATTGTAGTAAGTGATGCTAATGAAGCAGGATAATTACCAAATATAGTTTGTGCTGCTTTGTATTTTGTATTCCAATGTTGTCGTTCATGAGGTTTAAAAAAAAGTGAAATTCTACGTAAATGTATTTTCCATGTTGAATAAACACAATTAGTATTAAGCATAGTTAAACGACCAATAGCAAATGAATCATGACGAGAATATCGACAAGGACCATCGAATGTATAAGGAGGTAGATGTTTTGTATCTTCTGATGATTTCATTGAATGAATGGATAAATGAAAATAACCACTATGATAATTCAATGGACCAATTATTTCATGACCTTTTGGTGGTGGATGATAATTAATTAAATTAAGAACCTCAAATTCACCAATATAATCATCAAGAATTTTTTCATCATCTTTATCATAGATTTTAACTGTCAGTTTGGCATTCAAAGGAATGTTACGAACAATCCATTTTTCATCATTCCATTTAGGTGTTGTCGTATTCGATAAAATAGATGATCTGAAATTTAAGAATACAATTCAAAAACAGGGCAAAATATATACAACTATAGAAACTACATGATCTTCTAATTTTACTTAATTATATTAGGATATTAATTCGTTTTTTCTAAAAAATTGAAGCATGCTTGAGAAAAGTTTCTCCCTTGATTTTCTTTAGTGAAGTTTCGTATTTCTGTTTGAATAGATTAAAAATCACACTCACGTAAATGATATTTGATCATCAATTTTTGCTATAAAATATGGATCAGCATATCCGACAACATCCATCTTTGGTATGTCCTGAAAGAAGAAAATGTAATGTAAAATAAAAACTAATGATAAATCAACCTCAGCCGAATGAAATTGTATAACAACATCATAACTAAACTGTGAATTGTCTGAGGCGAAAAATGTCTTTCCTATGAGTGCACCTTTGAGGCCAGAAGAAACTGAATGCGAAGACATTAGTGAAGTGATCTAAATTTGAATAACGAAAACAACAAATATTTTGTATAGACCAATATGATTAGCTAATCCACTTACTATCAATTAATAAATATTTGTTGTATCAAGGATGATTTTCCTGTTGACTCTGCTTTTTTTTCTTTCTTCTATTTTGCAACTTTCAAGCTGTTCGACGATAATATATGTGACATGGTGTAAGTCATTTTTTGTTCTTTACCTTTTCCTTTTTTCTTGTTTTTCTTCTATATCATACTTATCAATCTTCTTTGCAGTTGTCACACACATATTATGGTAATCCTTTTTTTATAGTGAAAAAAAACAAGAAAACGTTTATGTAGTGCGTATCTCGAAAGAATGTATGAAGCTAATAAATATAAATTTTTCTCGTATAATAAGTATAGTATACGAATTAACCTTCGCTGTTATCGTTGAGTCAAACTGAACCTACTCTATTTTTTTGTATTTTAATAGAGTTTCGTATGACTTCTTGGTTCACTTGTCTTAATCATTTTATGTAAGACAAACACGAAAAAGAGTTATCATTTTCATGAAAGAAATACTAATATAAGTCTTATTTGCTTATTTTTCTATGCATGCAAAAGAGCAATATTCGAATTTTTCAGTCAATGTCAATAAGTTAAGTTTGAGTTGAAGCATTGAGTTAGTTACATTCTAGAACAGAATACAACTAAAACAAGAGCATTATTTTTCATTTAACAAAAACCATGTTGAGTTGAATAATTTCGAAGTACGTGGGATAATCAATTGAAGAACAGTGCTGAAAACTTCTATCGAAATAAGTGTTTTGAATTTGTCAAATAAAGAACGTCATTGTTCATAACAAAAGTATGCTTATATTCACTGGGATAATATTGTTTTAATTAAGCTGAATACTTGACATGCTATGCTACAGTCAATCATCATATTTTGCATCATAATGTGATGAATTGTCAAGATATTGTATTGAAAGAAATATGTTTGTAATAATGAAAATAAATTTTTATAACACTATTTCCAATTTAGTACCATTTTTTGGAGCTTTTCATTCGAAAATGGTACACTTCCTGTGGATACCATTTGTAAACTCACGAATCTGAACGCTAGAGTTATTGATTGGGATCTGTATTAACCACAAAACTCAATAAAAGAGAATGATTTTCAACCCGCGTCAAGTAGTTGTGCGTGAAAATTTTTTTTCTGAACGCAAGTAGAAATATCTACAGTTCTTTCTAACAGAGTCTTTTGACATTTTCATGGTGGAGAGTCTCAAGAATGTGCAAATTATTCTGCAATCTCAAAATTCATTAGGTTGAGGGCAACGTGAGTGAAGTTGGAGCTCAAAGGAAATAAAATATTCTCACATCCACAGGTAAGTTAGAGCAGAAATTTTGAAAATCTTATTAGTTTTTTAATAAATCTCTTCTTGGCTATTGTAGAATATTTTTTTTCTTTGTGTGGCGTTTCAACAATAGACGCTGCCTTCTTCAGGTTTTACTCATGTAAAAATGTATGTGCTATAACAAACGCATCGGAGTTTTTTCTTCAACATCTTGCCCATACACTATCGAATTGTGATAATGACGAAAGCGAAAAATAAAAAATAAAAGAGAAAAACTCATATGGATATGCACTAATGCATTTATTTTTACATGAATAAAGTCTGAAAAAGGCGGCATCAATTGCTAAAACGTCACAAGAAGAAAAAGAATATTTTATAAGAACCAGAAAGAGATTTATTTAGAAATTAATAATCAATAATGACCTTTCTAAACAAAATACGAGTTGTGAAATTCTGTTCAAAAAATTGTGCTGGTATCAATAGACTTTTAATTAACATGAGGACAAGCTTTGTATCTATTATTACGAGTGAATCTAAACGACTTTGCTGCAAGCCATGAGTAATGTGGAAATTGCAGAAAAATTCGATATTTTAGAGGAAAATTTTGGTCATAGCAATTGCAACAGAAGACTGCTCTTAGCTATAAGTATCAGCAAAAACGACAATCTATTCATTTTGTCGAATCAAAAAACATCATTCCGGGAAATGAAAAGTTAAATTTCCATTTGAGTCGATATCCCTGTGCAATGTCTCCCTTATGTTAATTTGGTGTCTTTGAAAAGTAACAAGCAATACTCATCAGCATGACTGTCTTTTTTTGGAAATCGGTGCTTTAGAAGTTCCTGTAGCAGCAGCCATTTTTGGTGACGGTTCTCCGAGTAAAATGATAATCAAATCAAGATCTTTCTTCGAAGGTTGCAAATGACTTTTGACAATAAACTGACTAGCAGGTAGAAGCAGTGTTTCATCTTCATCTTCATCTGCAAACGATGAGTGTTCTCGGATTTTCTTTCCATTAAAACATTTGATATTAAATATTGTTCGTGTGTCTTCCTGACCAAGAGACGATTCTGATTCAAGAACTAATATCGATTCAGTACAGCTTGAAAAACCCCACCATGTATATGTTTTTCCTACTTCATATTATTTCCGTAAATCTAGACGAATATGGATTCATCTTGCGTTAAACTATCTTTAAGCGATTCGCAATTTTCTTTGGCGATGTAAACGCGTCGACGTGCATCCGGACAAAAGTCAACGATAGGCTCGATAGCTTCTTCAAGTGAAACTAGTTTGAGAGATTGATAACCTTCGATAGATTGAAAGAGCTTGCGTGGTTCTTCACCAACATCAACAAAACGATCAAAACTAACAATACCTTTAGCTTTTGCCATTGTATTTATCGTATGTAGTGGCTGATGCGACTTATCGAATGGCACTGAAATGACTTCTTTATTTTTACATTCAAGCTTTTGAAATAAATAGTCAATGTGATTTTTTTTCGGTCGCACTGAGGGTCTTGGTGGAAAATGTCGAAAAGGAAAACGTCGAAAGAGAAAAAAACTCAGAAAAAATAGGAAGAGGAAAACATCGAAAAAAAAATTCCTTTAGGGAAAACCGTCGAATTAGAAAAAATAGAAGAGGAAACTATCGAAAAGGAAAACATCGAAGGGGAAAATGTCGAAACAATTAATCTATTGTTACAGTTAATGATTATGAATGATGTTGCTTTATTATGTTAGAAAAAAGAAAATATTCATAATATAGCATAAAATGTTATTTTTTTCTTCCCAATCAACAATGATAAACCTGATAAATGTTCATTTGTGTTAATTTGCTGTTGGAGAAATCTTTCCCGTAGAGTATCAAATCTCGTTTGAAAAGCTTTGGTTTTTTTCGATTGTTTCGGTGCAGAAGCACCAGCCTCTAGTTGAGTTAATATATGTTCAAAACGAACATGTTCGCTTTGGATCAGTTGTATAAAGCTCCAAATATTCGGATGCTTTTTCGATAACCGGCTTGCAAATCTAAGGTTGTAAGCTAAAATATAAATAATAAAGTGCAGTGATTCGAAACACAACAGACGGAAAGCTGCAGTATTCTGACCTTCTGAGGTGTTATTTGTTCGATGATGAACATCAAAAAAATTCCACATTTGAATTGGAACAACACCATGTACCCATTGATGTTTAAAATATAGTAGTAGATCACCTAATGACGTTGACGTAATCGTTTCTAAACGTTGAAACTGACTTTCTACTTCGTTGATCGGCATAAGACTTAACGCCATGATTTGACGACATTGATCACGAATAGATTCATTATGCAAATAATCATTTGCTAAACCTAAGTTTGTAATTTTTCTGTGTATCGCTTGATGGAAATGGAACATACAACCAGAATGGATAGCAGATGGAAACTAACAAAAATGAAACAATATATTAAGCGTGCTGAACATGTATTATTAATATAAAAACACTCACCTCTTGTTGTATGACTGGCAGCAAACCAGGTTCATAATCTGTAATGATACGTTTCGGATTAAATTGTTTTCCCATCACAATTGCTTGTTCTTTTAATCGTTCAAATAATTCAAGGTATGTTTTGCCACGTTTATTTGGTAGAAGACAAAATGCAACTGGTAATCCTTCAATACAAAAGTATGATTTTAAAAATTCAGGATGTTATAAATTATTTATAATCTACCTTGGCCAAATTTTTCAGTATGTATCAAATATACTTGTTTAAAATAAGCGGGTGTAATATCAAACGTTCCATCCATAAAAATCGTAGTACTTTCAAATAATAAATGTAGTTGTTGATCACTTGAAAAAATCAAAAGACGATCTTGACCACGTTTTAGAAACAGATCTATCAATAAAAATCATTTGGTCGTCAATGTTTGTTGATATGATTCAGGAATATCAAACATAACGGTCGATGGTATTACTGGTGTTTTTTTTCGTCGTGCTTTACTCATGTTAGATCCTTAATATTAAAAAATAGTACAATATTTAATAGATGTATCAAGTATTACATACTATACTCAACAATAGTTGGTATTATTGCCGTTGCACCTTTTGAAACATTCGCTTTCACTATTTCCTCATCATAAATTTTTGTTATAGATGTTGTTTCAGCTAATATTCGTTCTTTCATTTTGTCCCGTAAAAGCTTGACTGTTACTTGATCTGGATTAGAACTATGATTATGATCACCTCTCACACATATGAATTCATTAGTAATAGTTGTGTGTATGTAAACACCACATTCTTTCTCAGTACACACCCAATATTTTTTTGATTCTGTTGTCTTATTGCACTTGAAAAAATGATTATTATGAATTATCATTGGTTTACCTTTGTTGGATGTAGCAAATGATACCTCAGACTGTTGATTTTTCATCGAATTAATTTCTAAACGTGCAACTGAGGTCATTTTTACTAAATATCTTTTCATGTGAAAAAATTTTCTTTGTTCGATAACAAGTAATACGTGCTAGTCAATGGGTGACCAATCACATTTTCTATATCATTTCCATTTATAGCTTTCGATGTTTTCCTCTTCGACGTTTTCCTTTTCGCCATTTTCCTTTCTTGTTTTTTTTATTTCGACATTTTCCTCTTCGACTTTTTCCTTTTCTACGTTTTCCTTTTCTACTTTTCTTTCGGCGTTTTCCTTTTCTACTTTTCTTTCGGCGTTTTCCTCTTCGACGTTTTCCTTTTCGACGTTTTCCACCAACCCCAAATATTCAATCAATTAAATCTGTAATAGAGCTGATAGATCAGATAATAGAGCGATGTATTTTCATTTACAATTTGTTTTTTAGGAGGGGTGTGGGTGTGGGTATGGGTGTCTAAAAAGAAGATTAACACCCTCAATCACACCCCACACACGTACCCATACACCCCCACCCTTATTTCATTCATATTCACTAACGGTACAGCAGATAAAAATTCTTTCAATGA